CAAAAGTAAACGAAGAACCTTATTTAACACTGGAGAGAAAAGAAGTTTCAACATGTGATTTCAGCATCGAGATTCCGTGTGGGACACCTAAACACGCGATTAATGAAGATCATTTGAACTTGAACATAAACGACTCCAGAGCAAATGCTTCAGGTAACACTGAGTATTTAAGATATGCACTTCCTAAGCGTTAAACTTGTATCGAGTTGAGCCACAAAATTGAGCTACTAAGACCAAATATCTACTGCTACCGAGATTAAGAGCTCACATCTTGTAACACCAGTATAAAGTGGTCAAGATTGCTGGCGTGAGGCTAGTAAAAGGTGTGATAGCATTGTAAAGTTATAAAAAAATGTTAGAAGCGCTTTTATTCAGTCTTCAACTTTGGACTCATGTGGAGGTATATCAGTTTAATGCTGTCCAATCAATGTAGATTTAAACGTAATAAACAATTAGTACCACTACTCTTTATGCATAATTTTAATGGGCCCATTTACTGAAGACTCGACGGGGTTAACACATTTCATTGAGTTGTTTGAATGTCGCCACTGGGGTTTCTTAAATTGCTGACTTTGAATTATTACTATTGATGTAAGCATAAACAATTTCTCTAGGTAACGGTGATCAACAATCCATCACCGTGTTAGACGACGATTCCAAGTTGACAGATAAGCCTGAAAAGTGCTCAAGCAAAGGGGGCTCTTGTCTAGACCAGTCAGAAGGTACTGGCAGCCATTCCGATGCCTTCTCTGACACCGGGATCGATCCAATGATTCTGAAATACATGAAGTCAATGAAGGAACAAGGAAATACACACGAAGGAATAATCGAATCTGTCGTCCCCCGAGAGGTCAAAAAACACGCGGGTGCACCCTTCAGTACTTTTTTTCACTCTGATGAGGTAAACACCTTGTATTACCTTGGTCCGAAAATCACCAATAAAGAATGCCTAATTGAACAAGCTCCCTTACCCAAATATTTAATCGCCAGCTACCAAAAATAAATGCATGTGAATGTTCTAGAATAAAAATGTATGCGAACATGTTCAAGGAAATAGGGAATCTCGTAAAATACGCAACATGTAAATGTCCGTAATAATACTACGATTGTTTAAATGTCCAAGGAAATTGGATTGCTTTATTTTCCGTTATTGATGTCCACCATTAAAGTGATCCATATATGTGCATAAAAGCCCAAGGTGTAGCCTTGTGAAAGAGCTGCTACTTGGCAAATGAGAAGCACTATTTTACCTTCCAGTCGAGAGCAACCTTTAAGTTTAGAAAACTAGAATTATAAAAAATCCAGTTAAAAACCTAACAGCACATTTAGTGCATCAGGCAGTTAGTAATCATAGTACACCAAAATTAACTATTTACCAGAAGAATTTGTCGGTTTGCCATATGTTTAGATTGAGTGTTTGTTAATATCTGCATTACCGAGAAATCGGGTTCTTTGTTTTAGTTAATCTCTGACTCGAGCAATAGCGAGAAACCGTCTGAAGGGATGGCTGGAAAAAATAATATTGACGGGGGAAGGTGAGAATATGTTGTCGCTAAGTCTTTACCGTGATGCGAATGGTTAGTACTCATTCGGATATTCTAAATTTTAGTTATAAGCTCGAGAGCTCAGATGAATTTTGGTGACGAATTCTGGAGTGACATTCAATCAACGTTTTTTAATGTTTTATCGTGTTCCATCTTTCATAAAGGTAATATTATTCAATGCACTGTTAACAGCAAATCGAGGTCGCCTGAAAAGGAGCATAAGATTTACAAAAAAATTTAATTATAATTCTTCTTGTATGTTTTAAGCGCCGCTTGCATTTGTGCTGCTGCAAATATCTCTAAAAAATGGAAATCATTGAATAAATATCCTAAACCATATATTTTTTTTCACCTAAATGAATCAAAAATTATATATAAGGTTAGCACCTCATGCAGTCACTAATGCTTTGTACTAGGACGACCTTCTCTAGTATATTTAAAAATCGGGGATTTAGTAGCCGGGAGATCCGATTCCTTATGTATTCATTCTGTTTGGAGTCAAAAGAAGTCCATTAAAAGCACTTTAAGTTTTTGAAAACAACTGGGTTTTACCCTGGTTCGTTAAAAAGGGGTTCAAAATCATTTGCTTATAAATTTGGAAATATATTGAGTTTTTGTAACTTTAGATATTTAGCAATTGATCAAAGAAATCCTGATACATTAACCTAAATTATTTTACAAGACCTAATGATTTATAAAAAGCTGGGGACGCGATATCTATGTTAGATTTGGGTTCAAAGTAGCCATAGTCGTATAGTAGACCCTAATGATCTACTTCTATCAACTCTGTCACCGCATGCCCACCTTGCTCTAACCTTCCTCAGCGTCCTTCTCATTCATTCAGGTACATTTATATGCGCACCCGTGTCTACAAAACTTCTCCAGTCACTTGCACGACACATTTCATCAATCCGGTCCTGTACTCCTGCCGGTTCTCTTAAAAATTACTGGTTGCCAGTCTCAGTCAATTAAGTTCTGCTGGTTGTCATTTTTGATCTTGCATGCCCCAAGACTCTTAAAACATCATACTTATGCGGACCGGTCTAATAAATTTCTAGGACCCTCTCTCACTTCAAGTTTGCGTCTAAAAGTACCACTAAAAATGAAAATGACCTTCGGTGTCAGTACAAACTTGCATATTATGAGATGTTTCCTTCACTTTAGCGGCATACATGGTAAGGTTTAGAGTTTACTTTTATTCCTGTTTTATGCTTCATATAATATTCCGCTTTGCAGATCATCAGTGGTCATAATGGTTTTTCCGTTGACAACCTAAATGCTAATGCATAATCTCCCCAATTATGTGCATTTTTTCCCTTACAGTCATTCAGACTGCACTCATTTTGCACAATTATCAGCAAAATTCCTAATAATTAACACTAAAATTCATAAGTATATAAAAAACTACCGATTTCACAAACAATTATGCTTTATTTAAAAAAAGTCATTTGAAATTTATTTATGTACAGAGGCATTGAAAATGGTCCACGTTTTATAATGCCTTGCATAAATAAGGAAACTGAATTATTTCATATTAAAATTCGAAAGTGAGACTGAATATTTATGTCTCGAAGGTAGGAAAGCACAAATTGGCAGATGTGAAATGGTGGTTCTCTGTGATACTAAAAAAGGCGATCAAATATCCAACTTTAGTTAGATCGCTAAAAATTATCTATTGTTATAGATATTGTTGGTAAAAATACTTTGACGTCAGTATTTTCAAACTAAAATCCCATTAAACGTAAATTACATGATTAGAATTTTTCACTGATTTTGTAGAAACGTAGCTAAATTTAAACGAATTTAATTCACTTTACTAATGAAAAAAGGAAATGTTCTACAAAGCAAGTAAATCACATTAATAAGAAAATTTTTCTGATCTCAGTTATGATGAAAAATGTGCAAATAAAATGCAATGACAAATTTCTTAGGATATCAACGTTTTAGCAACTTTCGTTTTGATTATCGAATAAATTCACAAATGCAGGTAAGAATTTTTCGGAAGGAAGAATACTTAATTCATTCTAAAAAAGAGCACTAGGACAATTAAAACATAATGGTGGCGTACAGTTTAGCAATAAATAAGTTTCAGCAACTACTGTCCCAGCTTACCATGTAGGTAATACCAATGGGTATATAAATACAGATCCCTACGCTAATGGTAGCCAAACATAATTGTCATTGCCAGTCAATTTCTGCAAATATATTTCACTACATTTTACACATAAGTCTATCAACAGTAAGGACTGAATATTGCAGTTACTGATAGTCATTCTTCAAAATATATACAACTGAGCCGGCATTACGTGACTAGTTCTCTCAAAGTCATACATTTTGTCACTCTTGGTAAAAGCGTTTTTTATGGGTAAGTTAATTATGCACGCAAATATATATATTTCTATAAAGGAGAAAGTGAACGAAAATTATTAAGCTTAGAAATATAAAATCTTAAAAATGTTTTTAATGATTCTACACTACAATTTTCACAAAAATAATATGCTACAAAACGTAATAGTACACTTGTATTTTAAAAAGCCATGTTAGAATTTTTGACAATGTAGGCCACTTTGAAGGACACACGTAGCGCCTTGGATGAAATGTTTCTTGAGCGCTGTTTTGTACCAGTCTTTTTGAAGTCTCACCGAGTTATTTGCCTTACACTTTTTTCACCTTAATTAAAGATGAACTTTAGTCGTTCACTCAAAATTTCAAATAGCAATTTAAATAGGGAATCACAAGACACACCACTGCGGTGCGTAAATAATTTGAATGCTGGCAGAATTTCCCAATTTGGGAGGATTTCCGAGAACAGCGATCCTTTCCGTGGCTCACTTGATGGCCAACCGGGCATACTAAGTGAATCAGGTAAGCGTCTTGCATCTAGAACGGTCTTGATCTGAAGGTTTATCATTTATTATGAAAGCATTCAAACTCTTATTTTTAATTGTTGTAACAACATCAAAGCTATTGCATTCGGTTTTATACTTCCAGATATCACTATGCTTGAATAAAGTGCAGCTTTTAAATCATTAGAATTCGCTTACCGAAAACATAATTTTACATATCTTTGAATCCAAAAAAAAACATTTAGCACTGAGGTTTTTAAAATTTCTCGACTCTATTGTTCGTGGAATTTGTTTTAGTCAAATGTTCTGAGTATTTTTCTTTTGTATTATCATTTACAGTTCCTCTCAATGTATCAGGCTATTATTGTGCATGTACCCTATTTATTCGGATCCACATCAATTCATTCTGAAGTAATAATCATGTTACAGCAATTCATTAAGGCCTTCTTGAGACAATGTTTAACCTTAAATTAATGCGAAGCCATTCGTTCCATCATTTTTTGTCATCACAATTATAGCTTTAGCTTTTTCGCTCTCTTTGGGATTGTTAAAAATCGCCTATTTTTGTTTTTGTTCGGGTAATTTATCGAAAGGACGTAATTCGACTCAGATGGCTCCTAATTCGGGATCAAGTGCCACAACGTTCCCCGTTCCATCAGAGACCTTTGAAAAAGTTCGATCAGAACACAGACTGATTGGGCGACTTTTTTGTGATCCCGCATTCCCGGCCGATGAAAGTAGCCTTTATTATAGTCGTCGACCACCCTGTACCATTGTTTGGATGCGACCACCCGAAATCGTATCTTCACTTTTCCGAACTGACGTTCTCGGAATCGCGCCTCGAAAAATGCACTTCCCGGAATTTATTGCTGATGGTAATATACGTCTTGGGGATCTTAGGCAGGGCGAGTTAGGTAAGTAACTTTTCCTGCATGCGCCTACTCTTATTTGGCTTGTGTTTTTCATAAAATATTTTTTCCATGAATGATTTTGGAAAATAGACCAAATATATGTCATAGGGTTCTTTAAAATAGTTATTTTTTGACTTTTTTTGTTATTAATATTGGTCGTGGGGTTAACAAGCTACGTCTGTTGAATACAGGAAACGAATAATGGGGAATTTGTATGCATTGTACATTACGTGTTTTTTGCTGGTTTAAATGGTCACCGAATCCTTTAATTTTCCCGAGATGCCCTTTCCTAATGACCAAATACATTGAAAACCTGTTACTCAAAGACAATTAAGTGGTGTTCATTACCGCGATTTCAGAGTAAATTACCAAATTTATGAAATCCGACACATAGCATGGAGACCATTCTCTTTTGATGCACAAAAATTCATAACTAGTATAGGTGAGATATTGCGCCACAGACTTAGAATGTCCTTTTGTAATTGTGTGGGGGTGCGTTTGGATTCGGGTGACAATTTGTTAGTCTAAAAGGCTTACCCTTCGCCATTTATGTTCAGTACACTCAACTCGCGCTGACTTAACTGGATGGTTATGATGGCTTTTTGAGCATATTAGCTGTACTTCTTGTTTCTAAACCTATATAATTATTGCCCAGGTTGACAACCACTCTTGGTTATAACTGCATGTTTTGGCTTTTTAAATTAATAAGAGACAAGACTGCAAATCTAGAGTCAGTATTGGTGGTGATAGATTACCTTTGCGAATTGGCGGCAAGTTATTTGAAATAGAAAAATTAAAAATATATTCTTGAACAAATGTGAACACAACGGATGTTGACGCCCTACTCCGTGCACATACAATTCTGACTCGTGAGTCTATCTGTGGTGGTTGTATGCATATAAGCTTACAAGTGTCACCTAGACTAGAAACAATAAGACTTGAGGGGCCGACAGTGCCTGTTACTTACGTGACTGCATCACTTATTAATGTCCAACCTCACTTTAGTTCAGTCCATGACCACTGGTATCGAAGCACAACTTTCTACATCCTCATACTTTTCTGCACTGTGTTTGCATTTCTGAGGACATTTACCGATGCATTACACTTTTCTGATACACAAAATGTGGAGTGATAAATTTTCCCGTATTTATCAGGTAAATTTATGTCAAATTATGGAATCGCTTCCTGTGAATAAATTTCTCACAAATGTCAAATCGGCCATTTGCAGGTTTGTTTACAAGCAGCTGTGTCAGGCTACCGACTTCACTTGTATACTTTCGCATTGCTCCAGTCACTACTTCCATTTTCTCGCTATGCATCATGTCACGGAACAGAATTCGTGTAAATTTGCATTCTAAGCACAAACAAATACTTTGAGGGGTGTAGTTCAATGCACTAGACGGCCCTACGGGTAACATTTATTTTATTAGAGAATATTATTTAGGACGGGTAAGTGATTTCATGATACAATGGGTTTTTACCTGGAAATGGTCATTTTGATAGTGCGGCTTGGCCTTAAATTAACCTGAAATGGTAAACTAAAAGTTAACATGACGATTCCATAGTTGAGTTGAGTGTAATCTAAAACTAAATCCGAAGCCATGGAGTTTCAAATTGGAATAAGATGTGAAGCGCCAGACCCTTGCTATTCAATAAATCCTACACAAACACGGAGACGCCTTTATCAATGATTATGTTTATCGCCTTTCCTGCAACTTTGATTCGATTTACAATTAAAAATTTGCTTTGTTCCTGGAATAGTCTGCACTAAACAAATCTAGCATCCACTGGGTTGGAGTGACCTATTAGAAGCATTGTGTTTTCATGGAGTTAATGTTAGTAATGCTGAGTCAAAGGTTTTGCCGTTAGAAAATTCATCGAAATCGTTGTTTTACTCTTCTAACTCCTGTTTAGAAGTAATGCAATAATTGTGTATTCGTCCGTGTTTGTTAAGCTATTCTTGGGTCTCGGAACTTTTTACAGTTTTATTAGCCTATAGTCAGTCCTTAGAATTAAGCGACTTTAATCCATAGGACAAAGTTATTACTATGCATGAACCACAGGCAGGTTACAAAATTAATGAACTCAGGTTTATGGTGGTGTTCCTTCAAGTAGCTAACATTTCTTCATATTAAGGTTACCCAACGTTTTTCGGGGGGTCTTATCGAGTTGACACTAAAATTTACTAAACGTTGACGTACCAAATAGTTTGATTCACGTAACACCACTGTTCCTTCTACAAACATCCTTTTCCTGACTTTCTTAGTGTTTCATCAATTTCCGGGGCGTTCTAAATGAACTGTTGGGTCCGTCTTCATATTCTTATTTTTGCAGTCTCTTTAATGTTTTTGCCAGGAGCTAACAGAATAGCGATATTTTAAGAAAGAACTAAACTCTAAATTGGTAGGATGTTTCTAGGTGCATCTTGGGACGAATGCTGCGCCATTAACAGCTCCCTGGTGTAAATCAGTGGTTGAATTAGCCAGCCGTCTGGACCTGGAGTGCAAGGCTATTTTGGCACACTTTGCCCCGATTTTGCTTGGACTATTGGCTTAAACCAAAATGGCATTACCAATCGACTTCATTTTTGACAGCTGTAGTAGTAGAAAAGCAATGAATTGTCACTGACGTTATTCAGATCAAAATAAGTTTTGCTTTAATAAAATCAGGTAAACGGGGTCGCTGAAAGACACGCGGCTCCTTTAACTTCATAAACACAATTGGCGGTGGCGCAGAAGCGGAGTGCTTATAATCCCCTTAGAATCCCAGTGGTATCCGAACGTGCTTTCGGCACAAATGACTGTGAATCAAGCTGCCACTAAACGCCACCAGATCTTTTCAGTAACCCAAATGGTCTCGTGTTGTGGAAAGGCACCCTAGCGTCAATGCTAGCCAACTGAAGTTTCGCCATACTTCAATGTCTACTGAGAAGCATGGCACTAATCTGACAATGTAACTTACCACTGCATATCTCTTTTTCACTGCATCGTATTATTAAAACAAACAAAAGTTTGAAATTTTATATATATATTACATTTGACTTAGAAGTGGCGGGCCAGATGTTTGTTAGTTTTTAAATAGAAAAACTTTTTTTGACCATAATATAACCTTTTTTTTAATTTTATGGTAATTCGAAGATCTGACAAACACATGACTGAATTTTTTTGTAGTTGCGAAGTATACCTGACATAGAATTCACCGTTTCGATAACTCATTGTGGTATTTTAGAACCGCAAGTCGATATTTTATAATCGACATGCGCTTAGACCATTGTAGTGCAGAAGCAATTTGACGAAGTAATTGGCTCTTGCTCACGAATAATGCAACTGAAGTTCTATCAAATTCACGTTAAGCGAACCGTTACCACACATTCCACAATGTCATTGTGCTTTTGTCAAGGCGACTGCTGGGTGGTCGCTGCGTTGGCGTCAATGGTAACACAACCCCACCTGGCAATGCGTTCAATCCCACAGGGCCAGTCCTTCCGGTCGGAGTGGTATGCTGGCTGCTTCTGCTTTCGATTCTGGCAGTTCGGCGCTTGGGAGGAGGTCATAATCGACGACCGATTGCCTGTGCGACCGGGCGGCCGACCGCTTTTCGTGCACTCCAGTCGGCACACCGAGTTTTGGCCAGCGTTGCTGGAAAAGGCCTATGCAAAGTGAGTATCTTACCGGAGCAGAAATTCGCATATTTTGGAGGTACTTGACGACACTTAAAAATTGCCCACTGTATGCAGGTGATTTTTAAAGGGAGCAATATGTTGCATACAATGCCAGTGATCGGTGAAACTCCGGTGTCTCCACGATTACAAGTCAGAACAGGAGTTTAAATAATCCAAAATTGCGAAATTTTTTGAAAAAAAGTTTCTGTGAGTTGCGATAAAACAGCGTGTGCTCAAGTTACCTGCAATTATATGACTCTATTTAAAACAATGGATCCATGTTTAATGGCATTTTTAACTAACCCGATTACATTCACCAAAAGCCACATAGTTGTGCTGCTTTTAACTACATTGAAAACAGAAATACTTAACACTTAAATGGATTTTTTTAATTTAAATTATTTCTGCAAAGTAATCTTAGAGTAACTTATTCAAAGAAATTTTTTTCAGTATAAAAGGAGTTAAAAATTGTGTTGAAAGGAGAAGTAAATTCGTTATTTTAGGTTACAGTATTATAGCCATAAGTGTTACCCAAGTATTAGTCATTATTTTTTAAACTAGACTGTCTTTGTCGCCAATTGACAGCAAAAATGTATCATCAGCTAAATAAGAACTTTATTTAACTGAATTCCACCCTGTGGTTATTATGCAACATATCTCGATATTGTTGATTTTGATTAACTTTACAGACCTACGATTTTATCGTAAGTAGTTTGACCGACTACTAGCAGTAACAAATACTACTTTATTTGCTAAAAGTAATTTATCGGTTACTGATAAAACTCAGTTCCCGTGGAATGCGATAGACCTTTGTGTGCCAGCATTGATGGGTAGTGCTTGCATAGGCGAGAATATTTATAAAATGTTAGTTGAAGTGGTAAATTGTGGGTGCAGCATTTGGAAGGCATTTTAGATTTTGTCAACCTCTAATGCCACCGCTCATTTGAACTTGAAGAAAGACTTTAGGGTACGTTTGGCCCCTGGTAATACAACCTTGTTACGTTGCTCAGTCAACGTCAGAAAGTAGTATTGCTCCGTTAGCACTGCTGATTCAAAAGTAGTGCATTTTGTCAGAACATAGAGGAGACTAGATAGGGGTGCTTGCAAACAATGACTACGATCTGTTCCTGCAATATTTGGGGCAATGCGAATCAATTGTTTGAATTTCTTATTTAAGTTTCATAAGGGGAAGAGCAAGTGGTAAAAATAACACTTTCTGCGGATTCCTCAGGCAAATTCAATAATTGTCATGCAATTCCGTTAAGACTCCAAGTTGATGCAAAATTTGAGGGGGTGATCGTGAGGTCGGGTTTGTCATCAACATCTAACATGTTCACTAAGTTAGCTATTCTGTTGCGTTTGCATCAAACCTCCACGGTTCCGCACCCTTTCGCGCGTTCTTTGCCCTAGCTTCTTCAGTGGTTTTACAATAATGAAAGCATTCATGCTGCAGCACAATTGGGCTTTAACATTTGAACAACACGTAGCCTTCTACAGACTGTCACGGTAATGCCACATAAGCCACTAGCACTTCCACATTTTGATAAGTGTGACTGTATCCCATAGCCACTTGTCTGGGACCATCTCGTCACGGGGGGCATTATCGACTTTGCTAGGCTGAGACATTCAGTCTAATGTTGCGGTTGGACGCGTTTTCGGACTTGCTTTCAGATTTCAATGTATTGAAATAAAGGTGTAATTTTCGCAAAAGGTCGTGAAATACAAGCTACATAGCCATTCTATTTAGACTCACTGTGCTTCCTACAGACCGAGCGCAAAAGTTCCTGAATGCATTTACTATAGTTATCGCAGACAAAGCCATTCTATAAGTCATTTTATACTAAGTGATTCACGAATTTCAACAGTTAACTCTTGAACAAGATTCACACAAAAGTATCGAACCTCAGCAACCTGAGACTATTTTAAAAATGAATAATTAACTCATGGTATCATGTTGCACTGTAAAAGACCGCTTTTCAATTGCAGTGTTTCGGATAAGTATGATGTAAATCAGTTACGCCTTTCAAGCTACAGCTAAACTCTATATGTGGATTCAAGCAATGGGGTGAGTGAATTAAATTGAATGACCCGGATAGTCTTCAAGTGCCAGGTATGGAGAGGCATAAAGCATCGAAGATTTTGGTTCAAGCGGTTCAAAAACCCCAGTCTTTCTTTTTTGCAGACTAAGTGGTTCCTACGAAGCCCTGAATGTGAGCCTTATAGGAGACGCAATGGATGATATAATTGGTGGCTTGACCGAGTCATACTGTCTCGCTCCGGGAGAAGATCAAGGGATGCGTCCGCCTCCGGACATCGATGACATCCTCATTAAGGCCTTCGATAGGCGAAGCCTCATCACTGCGCGTATAAAGGCTAGTTATCTCAGCTACCAATGATCTCACAACCTTAGATTTTAATTAACAGCAAATTGTCCCTGTTAAGCCTCATTTCTTGCTAATTAGTTAATAGTGCGAGATCAGCAATCGCCTGGACCCAAAGGAGTGAATCCGAAGTCCCTTTAGATATTAATGAAAAAAACGTAGATTTTGGATTTTTGGGAAAGAAGTCACTCATTCGGTAGAGAAATATTGTCTCACCCTAGTTTTGCTCCACCGAAATTGTCAACCTTTCCTCTAAATTACCTGTTATTATAGCGATTAAGTGTTCTACGGTTTTGCTTGAGCAAGCTAAAATTATTCTAGTTGTCAAAGGCCAGACATCGAATTTAAGTGAAAACCTCTTTTGCATGTGACGAGATGACTTCTCAGCGATCCTAGTATTTAATTCATGTTCTAGCCTTTAAATGGTAGCGTACTCTTTTACCGCATGGGTAATTTTGACGATTGACATTGTACATTAACGTAACTCCAAACAATCGGAGTTTATTTTTATTTCGTAGCCCACAATGAGCATCATTTCAGTTCGCTGAGCCCAATTTTATGCAGCGTTCAAACCTGCATCCAACACCGTTTATCAACTCCACCACACACCCCAAGTACACCGAGTAGAATTAGCAGCGTTCTTACTCGCCAGTTGTCTCAGTACAGCAGGAATAATAGGTTTTATTGGCTCACGCGAAGGCCGTCATCAGCTAACCAATTAGGTGGCCTAGTTGTCCTTTACTGCTCCGTATTCCGTAATACGGACTTGGGTTTATTCATGGGTTTACGATCTGTATTTTTCAGCCGCAGATACGAAAATCCGCTTCAGGGGTTTTGAAAACAAAACAGGAAGGTGATAGGAATTGTACTTGTTTATTTTATCAACGGAAATGAACCATATTTTAAGTGAAACAACAGTATTATATGTTGCCATTCCGTACAAGCCGTGCAGCACCAAGTAGCTTTAACTAATTTCATTGTCTGATCTGTATATCTTTCACAATTTGGTCTTCGCCTAAGATTTAAGGGTTTATAAAGTATAAAAGTTAAAATACGCAGCTTCAATAAATAGTCGTAGGTCAACCTCAGCACATTTACAAGCATGCCTAACTGCCAATCGTTATGTTCTTAAAGCCAATTGTCGTGCATCCGCTCACTTTAATGAATCATTTTACATCCGACTTCCTAACATTTCGGCGCGTTAGAAAGAACATCAAAAATGGCCAATTATTTACATCAATCAAAACTTACTTCCTCCAAATCCCCATTCATTTTAATTGGCTGCTCAAAGGGATTACGAGGCTTTATAGTGCGCGTAGTGACCTTCTATAAGTCAAAGGGTGTGGCCGTATATCATCACTGTGGTTTCGTCGACTCACACAATGGAATTCAATAGCTCTCAGATGGAAATACTGGGTCGGAGCGTGAGTCCTGGCCAGTCGATGCTATAAAAAATTCAACGAATGAAATGTAAGCGCATATCCATTAGGTGCTTTCACACCACCCCAGGCATAAGGCTATTACTTTTAATCATCCCTAATGTATAACTTTCCGTATGGTGCCGTGTTCTCGATTTTGTTTGCTTAAACTTCGGACCGAACCACGCTCCGCTTTCAAGTACGCTCAGTGCTCTAAATCCACTCTGTCATTGTTGGTGAGGTAACCTGTATCATGGTACTGACAGTCACCCTTATCAAAACGTGGAAGAACGAGCCAGATTGGGTCTTTCTCCAATGGCGGAGTCATGGTCAGGTCAAATCCTGAAACCGGCCATGTTGCAGTCCAAGAGTCGGCAAAATGAACACGCCGATTAGGGTGCCCCGGTAACGATGGAAGGTTAATTAATCAATGGTAAAATAAATTTAGCACAAAGGTGGTTCGGAAGTGGAGCAAAACCATTGTGAACGTGGTTGAGCCAGTGCTGTCGTATGGCCATGGGAAGCAAAGCGAAGGAAAATGCGAGAAGCGTACAAGCTAATCGTATTCCTTTCAGACCAAGGGCAGTACCAGCTCTGGCTTTGTGCTGCCTCAGGGTTTTGTTCCAGGGCAAGCGTTCGGGCTCACGGATTGCAGGAAGCTCCGCCTCACTGACGTCACCGGCACGCGGCTGGTTCGCCTTGTTCGCTTGAGTAATCTCTGGGCTTCAGCTCGTGTCGGTTGGGTTGGTGCGTGGTCTGAGGGTTCTTCGGAGTGGCTCTCCCTCCCTGCCGAAGATCGCATCAAGGTTGGACTTGTGAAAGGAGACGGGGAATTTTGGTAAGTTACTTGGAATAGTTTCGTGATATCGATGCAATCTTGTCGTCCACATGATGGTCGAGTGTTTTGGTTCGTCGCATGTTTTCAGCCGATGAGGCACAAGCACAACAGTTTAATTGCTAATTACAATCATTCTCGCACGACCTTACCAACGAGTCGCCTATTTTCCCTTCTTGGCCCGCTTTGGCTTTCGGTGAAATCTGTGAATTCAACTGGGATGAAACCTAAATAAGAAAACGCTGAGCTGCGTGAAAATGTTTTCATTTACTTTGGGATTGTAGGCGGATGCAATTTTTCAACTTATTATGCTATTTCTGGGCTTTGATCCTGGTGTTGGTTCAGGCTTAATGCACACTTTCAATGCCTTTTTGAACCACCAAGTCCTTTCAAGTTCCGAGCCTTGGATATTGCGGAATCCCTATTTCACGATCAAGGTTTCACTGATACTGTCTCCCTCCGAGCCAACATAACAATAGAGATCATCTCATCCTGTTGAGGTTTTAGGACAAAACGATGAAATTCCCTCATAGTAAAATAAGGCAATTTGTTTTTTTAACAGTGCAAAATGGAAGAAAGTAATAGCGTTTATGTGAGTGGTGTTGCAGCAGCATTCGAAACGAACCGCCCAGCTACGTGTAGGGAGGCCAAATACGGCATAGACTTAGGCGTCTATTCGCTTCCCCAAAACAGTGGTTCTGATCGTGTATTTGTGTGCATTTTGGGTCATGAACTGGAATAGCATGGGGTCAGTGCTGATGGCGTACAAAACATTGAGCGTCAGAGGGGATCAGGGGATCGTGCACGTCGGTGCGTAGTCAAATGGTTACTGAGACAAAAGGCGCTCCAAGTACGCGAGTGATTAGGCGGATATGCAAACAGTGAACAGTGGTTATATGCCATTCACTACCGAAGTATATATAATAATAGAGTTAGTGCGGGATTTGATTGCTATAAACAAGTACTATGGCAATGCTTTCTGATATGATTGTCGCGTTTTTCTAATATCCTATTGAGGGCATGTATGAGGTGTATGTATGTATGTATGAGTGTTTTTGGTGTTTTAATAGCGAGTTTTGAAGATACATAATTATAGATATATCAGGTTTCTCCCAATGTCCATATAATCTTACAAGCAGTCATTCTAGTCTCCTCCCTCAACAGACTGGCACAGTTTCACTGTGAACATTTAACAGCGGTGCATCATAATCTTTTTCGATAAAGTGGTAGGTTTAAGTGTAGATTCTAATCAGTATTTTGGCTACCCCTGCCTTTTGGGTCAAATTCGCATCTGCTATTATCTCTACGTAACAAAGGTCGAATTTGTTCCTTTAGGCTCACTTATTACTAACATGTATGAGGTCAAGTTTGATGCGTGGGCTTCTGTTTTAGTGAAACGAAATATGTAGTCGAAGCAACGTGCTTCGTACTTTTTAATTTAGGAAGTTTGTAAAATATATTTGATAATATTGCACAAAAGTGTACGGGGTTATTCACCCCATCGCCAACTCCAGTTTAAAGTGGTCAGAATTTCAATAAACACGTGCCTACTTCAGTTTTAACATTTCGAGTTGTTTTAAATGAATGTAAATTAAAACGGTGCAATGCGTATTAATCAAACGTTTCATTCGCCAGATTTTGGAAGCAATTCAGGCGTTTTTATTCGAACTAGCAAATGTTAAACTTAAGTGTTGTACTGAATTGAAGGCGGTCGTCGGTTTAGTCGTTGATGCGCCGATGTCACAACTTGTGAATGATATAAGCATTTCAGTCACTAGCTTTTTGCAAGCACTAACAAAACCCTAACACCTAAAATAGTAGAGAGTGCCTTGACTATAAAGCATTATTTGTCGCATTGCCACGTGGCATTAACAGAAAGTGGACTTCAGCAATCCAACGCAGTAAAGTGAAACGCCAAAACAATCACACGGCAGCAGGGGTTTCGCAAATACGCTGCGTGGTCACCACTGCTGACCCGCAGCCAGTCCCCTTTACTGCGGGCACGCGAACTGAGGCGCACCTGAAGGTCTGCTTCAAACAATCCATTTTTGCACTCATCTGTTTCACTGTTTGTTCCTCCTTCTCCTCCTCCTCCTTCTAGGACCAATTCAACTATCTGTAACGGGCCTCTTGAGGTTGAGGTAAATGCTGTCGTTCACAAAATCGGAACAACATTCCTTGACACTGTAATGCATGTTTTTTGAGTACTTTAAATTTTGCCTCCTGGCTAGTTTTTACTTGGGTTGAAAGACATCTGAAATCAATTTTCACGTTCACGTTTTTCGGCAAGTTCAATTAAAAAACGACAGGTTGCGATTTCTCTATTTGGTGAATCATCTTAAACACAATTTCTGCAGTGATACCAGTCTAATCGTTAAAGCTTGTCCGCAATGTCCCGAAATTGTGGTCGCATAGAGTAATTATAAATGGCACGTGCCCTGGGGAATTATTATAGTAATGGTCACCCTACATAATTCATAAGGTAGCTATTTTAGCTAACTTGCAATTGCTTTTCAATTTGAAAGGTAAGGTAATGTCAGGTTGTGCAGACGTTTTTTTGACGCAGCCATGTGCAACATGACTTTAGTGTTCTCTGATCTTGTTCACCCTAATATTAACAGATTGCAGCATCAAAGAAGACCGGTTAGCAGATGTTCATTTCCTATTTTAGGATGTCAATGGAAGACTTCTTAGCCAACTTTGATTACCTCGACATCTGCCATGTTCTTGAGTCACCTAATGATCCTCTTGGTCCGAAATCAATTGCCGGCCGTGTAACGGTGAACAGCAACCACCAGCACCACCTCAGCAACACGGCAGATCCGACTGCTGCGTCACCCTCGATTACCTTCAACGTGCACCGGTTCTTCGGTCAGTGGATCAGGGGGGTGACCGCCGGAGGACGTCCGTTTATGCGGGCGAGCCACTGGGCGAACCCACAGTATGTTGTGCACATGCCCACGCCAGACGCTGGTGATCCTGAAGGATTCGCAGCCCTTGTGGTCGCTCTGCTCCAATCCGATTTGAGACCTCTGCGACACCGAGCTCCTCGGCTTTTGTCAATTGGTTTTGTTTTATACAGGGTGAGTTTTTGCCCTCCATAAGAGTTCAGAACTGGCGTTTGGGGAAGAACGTTTATGTGCAATTATATTTCATCCGATTAAAATTCTATCAGCCGTGGTTTTTAGTTGTCTCCAACGCATCTAATCAGAAAGCATTAATTTGATCCCAACTAAGTAGATTCTTCAACTTGGCATTAGAAATTGCCTAATAACCCTGCACTTGTTTTTTTTGCAAAACAGGTTTTGGCGATGTACCCACTGTGTCTGACTGCTTGTCTCTGCCTTAAATATTGTACAAATTTGCATGATACCAATGCATTTAGTATACTCTTTTAAGTGTATTGGATACCGGAAGCGTGCAAGTAGAGGGGTGCTCCTTGGCTTTCGTTGTCTTAGGCAGAGATCTTACCTGCTTGTAGACAACTCCTTATCCTCGTAATAAGTATGACATAGGTGTCCTTTTTTACAAAATTCAAACATGTTTTGAGAGCACGTGGACGTGAGCGGGCTGAATTCTTCTTTCCGGTCGCGAGTCCCTTGAACAACTGTACGAACATTCGTTTAGATGACCAGCAACCATAGCGATCTAAACCACATTGACGTGAACAATGCAGCTTTGCATAGCTTTTTTGTTTGTCATTGCTTGTACTGTTTCATACATTTAGTAGTAACATTAGAACGTTGGCAAACGGCACTTTCTCTGAGGTTGTGCAACTTTTCGATGGCTTATTATCTTTCTTCTTGGTTCTCCATTTTTGTTTAATTTGTTGCAGCCAGATGCAATTCGGAATTTAGTCCGTAAGCACTTTACTCGAATTCTCTTGGTTTGCTTATGCTTAATTTGATATTTTGTCGTTGCTAGCAACGTACTTAAATTGCATTAAATTCCTTACTCCACGTTAGACCCACCCTCAAACAGAAAATGTCATGCTTTATCGCAAGTTTTCTACGTAGTCTTTTGATTTTAATTATTTTAAAGAATCCGTTGTTACATCACTCACGGTGGTCCTTGTGTAAGTTTACGACACATTCTTATGATTTCAGTCGATTTATTAAATCGTGTTGCTTCAAGAAATGGATTACCTTCTGGTTGTTATCAATTGGCATTACTCTTATTCGAGGGCCTGGCGAATGTATGTTTCCTTTTATCTGGGCTGAAAATTTTCAGCCGATTTGTCAGTTACTTGGCTCAGCCAATCCCGTTGACGTTCAGTGTAGGCCCTATTTACTGTACAAGCACCGAAAAATGCGAATTTTTCATATGAACTCGTCTACATGTTTTACAACGTTGTCTGGTTAGTGGATTTTAAAATTTATGCGGCCCTTTGTTCATGTGAGCATTTGTTGACAAGTTTCTGGTTCTTATTATTTACAATGGACAATTTTAATTTGATGGTATTTTTGTTTATGTCTATTTATATCTGACTGCAGCTACTCCTTCCCAGAAAAAATGTCGATTTATACTGATCGATTTTCGGTATGACATGCTAAACCACAGCAACTATTTTTTTTTGGTTTTTAAAAAATTCCCAGCTGCCTCCTGGAGCATCTCCCCCAATGACCAGGCATTTCTTTGAAACCACCAGTCACATCGCCAGCGTCGACTTTTTTTATGACTCAAGAGAAGTCGTTAAACGATTTCGCCTGGTTCCGGGCGTCTACCTCCTCATCCCCTGCACCTACTCGGCAGACCAACCCGGAGAATTTCTCCTCCGTGTTCTTTTTGAACAACCCGACCGAACCATGGAGTATGTGTTCCCCGGTACCTTTTCTTCATTTGTTCGCATTAAGTTCCACAAATTAAAAGATTATTTACGTCTCGGAAGCACGGCCTTCTATACGATTTCATGCGGCAGCATATTAAACCCTAAACTGAGCCAGTGCATCTACCAACCATCTAAACCTGGACTTTCATAACTTCTATCAAAATTAAAGCAGTCGATAATAGATTAACTTTGCTTGTCCAACGTTATGCTGCGTGTTGCCATTCTTACACAGGTGCTCTAGATATTCGCCATTTCAATCTCCAAGTGAATTCCCATGTTCTCTTTGCAACACATGCAGTCCCAGAATATTGCATTCATAATTTGCCCTAATCTGATGCACATTGATGGAACTTCTTATTCATGTTTGTTCCGGTTTGCTGGTACACAGATGCAACCCTCTTATTTAGCACGTTAAAGGCCTCCTTGGCGGACTAGCATAAGACAAAGCACTCATGAGTCGCGCCTCTCCAACAAGAGCAAGACGAGAGGGAACCATGTGCGGAGAGCTTTTATTTCACCAGCCAAAGGCCGAGTAGCATTCCAAGCGTTCCCACTCATGTGTGGTGTGGGCTGGCCTGAGTGCAAGTCAGAGTAAAAGTACACACGAGGTGAAAGTGCCAATAGGGAATGTGACGGCCGATAAGAGTACAAATGTTGGCGTGCATAAATATTAATAATAATGAGAAATATAAAGTTGTCATAGGCTTGAAATATATGGTCTTGGGGGTGCTGAATCTCAACGATGTTAGATTCTTAAAGTTACACTCTGTCTACGTGTTTTATGTCATGTCTAACAAAGCTTAGTCTCTCACACCATGGTTGACACTGATTTTCGCAGCCGTATTTTCTCTAATCAAATAATTCTAGCAAGTGCCTTGTGTCACAATGCTCACATCACTTTTTATATTGCATTTTTAGTCTTAGTTAAATCCATTAGATTTCCGAATGACAAATACTCGGAATTGCGCATTTTCCTACACAACCAACGGAGTGCCATTACAAAATATCTGTATGAATCAGTGAAGACTTGTGCAGTGACAATCAAGTCGATTATTTTTCTTCAATTTTGGGTTTGTAAAGTGTTCCAATAGCACAAAACTTTAAAGTAGAGAGAAAGCCGCCTAAAATTTGAGTGATCTTAAATTGAAAACGTTCAATCTTACTCAATCCCGGTAAACCGTGATGTAGATGTTTTCAATATGCTTCAAATAACCAACATTTAAAACAACAAGTGATTGATAAATACCATTCCCCACCGAACTCTTCATTAAGGTGTGCTTTAGGACGCTTGGATGTTGGAGGTATTTCATTCCAGGACTTGTCGGAACCAGATCCCGAGTTTGAGGTGATTCTTCCCCGAGTTCGCCGACTCTTCTACGAGGCTGCCGGCGAGTCCATGGCTGTGGACGCCTTTCAGTTGGACTCGATCCTCGGTGAACTTCTAAAGGAAGATCATAGGTTCCCCTACGCCATGGTTAGTTCTAACTTCCTTACTAAAGATTCAGATTTTAAATGTGTCCACCAACTCTAGAGCCAGCAGCGTGGTATGGCCCAACTTACTCAGTGTGTTAGCGATCAGTTTTTTTCAAGCAAAAGTGTTGTGTAGTGATGATCTTATCAGGGAAGACGCTTACAACTAATGGGTTACCAAGACAGTAAGTTTGGTTTCGGAGTGCTAAATAGAACGCATTTTATTCAAAAACCTACCATAAATTCCCTGTTGTATCGAATGGTCAATTTTATTAAATCTAGATTACTTTGCCCTGTAATCATAGGTTTTATAAAAATTCATCCGGATTTCCACCAGAAGATAAGTCTAAATGCCTCTGCATTAAGTTTCTCTTAGAAACCAGGTCATTACTTTTTCCTTTATCAAGCATCACTTTCTTGTTAGAAATGTTTCGGTTTCTTTTTTGTTGTCGTGATCGATCTTTCACATACTTTTATGATTAAATCAAAACACTAAAATTATCTAATCACATATAGGTCGAACCAATCTTTCAACCCCTAAAACTTAACAGCTGATATAATTATTGAGGTGGGAATCTTGTAAATATGGTCTACACGAAGTAGTTCTAAATAAACGAACTTCATGAATACTAACTTGTCATTAAACTGGGGAGTTTGGGTCAAGATTTCCACTGCTAATTTAACACGTGAAGTACACTTCAGTATTACGAGACACTGATGCAGGAATAAGGTATAGAATTAAAGCACGCAAGGCTTTTGGCCAAACAAATAATATTTTCGTGACTAACTGCTTTTTATTACAGGGTAACCTATGAGAATTCCCACGTGAGGTTGACCTCAATATCATCACCATCATTATTTTCAATCCAGAAATCACTTATTAATGTATTCATGCCGCAGTAATAAAAACCAATGAAATGCTGAACACGCTGTAATTTCGAACAATTCCCGTTTCTGACACTGAGGGCTGCTCAATGTAGGCTAATTTTCAGGGCGTCGGAAATAAATCTCCAGTACTGCGCAATTCATATGACATTAGCCTTTTAAAAATATTAAAACATGCATTTTATGTACACATTCCAATATTGGGAGAATCAGATCATTATTACTGGTTGAGGAGTATGTGGTGATGGCCTGCACTACCTTTTAACCGTTAGTTAACAGCCGTAACAACCCCGGGATAGAGGATAAACGGGCGGCAGTGGATCCGACGCTTACCCGCAAACTGGCCAGTTAAGCGCGTCCTTGCGTGAGAATGCGTGAGCGTTTTTCGCGTGCTTGTGGAAAACGACCAATGAGAGTTAAGGGTGAGTCACTGGTGCCAATCGACCTGCGGTTAGCCCCTTCGGACAAGCCCCAACTCATATACGCCGCTGACTGTACGTGGCGCGTACATTCAAGTCCATCAACCAAACAGAAATTACCTTCATCCTACCAACACCTAGTTTTCAAAAGCCCCCTCTAACACTAATTGAGACATCAGCGAGCAATTATTGATATTGATGCGCTAATGCATGGGCATGAATAATTTTAAAACATCCTCCTTAGATCAGTTTCGAGTTGGAGGGAATGCCGAATTCAGTCGGAGATCGTCTTACAGCAAGTGGATGTGTGTGTGAGCAAAAACCAGTGTGATTGATTGAATTTTGGTGAGGCAATGTCTCAATTGAGTAGGTCTGCATTGTTGTATTTCGCAGTCCACTTGTTTCGAAGAATTTTATCACCACTACTGCGGTATCCCACTTTCCTGTTCCACTCATCACATTCATCGTGAATGCAATTAAAGGTCCTTTTTTAAACCCGGCCTTTCTACCTAGAGGTTCCTTCTATTCAGAGGTGTAGAAAATGTCTGTTGAAAATGGGCTTCATTGTGACTTAGGAAGCTTCGTTTTAATTAGAAAGCAAATTAAAAGGGTGGTAAAGAGAAATTTTTAAAGTTCGGAGCCATTCTTGAGGACAGACGACAACTTAATCCAGCCAAACGTTCTGCCTAGGGAGTTATTGCACTTTGGAATGTTTTAACAGAAGAATGTCGGAGTATTTACAATCTTCCATAACTGAAACAGTAATTTTTATTGCTACTGTATAGCTGTATAACTTTCCATATCTGCTTAGCTATCTATAGACGCATGTCGAGCCTTAATCGCGATGCGGAATGAAAACTATTCAGGGAAATTAAAAGTATCTGATTTCCAGCAATTGTGGAGTCTTCTTCGATGCTGGTCACGAATGTTTGCCAGTTTTGATCCACAACGAACAGGATTTGTTACATGTCTCGACTTTCGGATTCTCGTTGAACAAGCTGGTAATCATTGCAGATATTTTCTTTCATACACGCAACCCGACACTTCAAAATAGAGACACGGAGACATCGGAGAAAGATCCAGTCTGGCTCGTTCTTCCACGTTTTACCAGGGGTAACTGTCAGTACCACCATATAATTGGTCTCCAGCAATGCTAGAATGAATATGAAGCACTACGCCTAGTTGTCGGAAACAATCATTTTGTTCAAACAGAAGTTTTTTTTCCAAATATTATCACAACGAACGTAGGGAATTTTCTCCCCATAAACAATTCTGAAATAACAACGTATTTCCGCCAAAAAAAACTAAGATCCATGCTTACTGTCATGGTAAAAATGCGCTGCGCAAAAGTGCGATATTTTATCTGGTTTATTTCCGTACCCATTGAAATCTGTGACTCTGCAGCTGGTATAATTTATACTTTCTCTACACACTTTTCCAATATTTTTAAGTGTTATTTGCATTCGTTTGTAGGTTTTTACCTCCCCTATGCAATTTTGGCCCGACTTGTGCACCGATTTGCCGATGCGCAGTGGCGACTCAGTTATAGCACATTCAATCAGATTATGGCGCTCTTAACAAAAGCCATAGGTGAGTTGGATGCTAGAAATTTCTTTCAGTGCTCCAAGCATAGCAGAGTTGCTAGTTTGAATGAAGCAGTTCAGTGTTGGCACATACTCACGGTTAAATGGCAGAGCAGTTGTGTCTAGGGATGCCAACCTCGCTCTCCTGGTCTTGCTCGATTTCCCACTAAACAATTCTAGCAAACTAAAACAGCTATTAAACCTATTACATGAGCACACTTTGAAAGCGACCTGTCTATTTTTAAGCAACTTTCAGCGTGACCAGTGAAGATGGATCAAGGATAACACTCGAACTCGAAGAGGTAACGATCGTTAATATTTTAATTGATATTATACAGTGATAAATTTCTACTTCACAGCAAAACTTTGCCCATGAAACACTATGCTATTTTTGGTTATTTATCTACAACAGGGAAACCACGTTAAGATAAAAAAAACCTTAGGCACATACTGCCATTCCACTTGTACTTTTTCTGCTTAATCAACACACACTTACCTTGACACAACACACTACTTGGATGGTACAATGATCATTACTATTTCACACAATAAGCAGCAGTAGTGATTTGCATACTTCCAACCTGATTTCGATTCTTTTTAGTTTCTGGAGCTTCTGATGACGATCTAGGAGTTGACACTGGACTAGCGAAAAGCTTGCACCCCCACACTGTGTGTACTGCTGACAAGTACGTATCATGCATCCACGTTACTGAGTGTACACTGAACCAACCAGGAAGGTACAGCTCAAGCCTTTGTCGAATGCTATCCCCTTTCCCACAATCTGCACAGTCCTCCGTTACCAGGTGTCCATACGGGTGCATCATTACGGATAATTCCTTAATCTTGGACGCATGAATCTAAATATTGCACAGTTTCAACTAGCTAGGCTTTAGTATATTACTGTATCTAAAACCCAGCCTTGTATGATTCTTATATTTGCTGCCATTCACATGCGAACGTAGTGTAATCCGCATAAACGAACAGACGAAGATGGAAACGTTAAAAAACCTGTTTTCCAAGCCATTTGGTCATGCCGAATGTAGTAGTTGGGTTTACTGGAACAAAATAATTAGACGCAGTTTATGAATTAGATCTCAGTATTCATTCAAAAGCCAATACAGCCCAGATCGAATATGCATAAATGTATATTCCCCGACCTAGAAGTTAAGAAAGGCAAACTGAAAGTTATTAAGCCACTAGAGCTGCTTTCAGACAGGTGGTGCAACTTGACACGTAAACGGGAGAAGCACCGGCTCGGACATTTCAAATTCACCTCAACTCATCAACAAATAACGCGTCTTGGGGTTAGTTACGATTCTAATCGCATCAGCACCCCAGTAACGTGATAAGCACGATTGACGGAACTCCGAACAGGACAACAGTGGGTAACCGACTCTCATGGAATAAAGAATCCCTTGACAAATGGGAATGAAAAATTGGACGATTATCAACTGCAAATAAACGTGCCTAAAATGCGGTACTTACGTAATGCCTTGATCTTAAAATTCACAGAGTTAAGACTGTGATTATGATGAAGTATATTTATTACATGAAACTTACCTGACAATACCCACGAGTTTTGTCAAATAAGCAAGAAAAATCAGTGATAGTGTTGTTCATGAATCAAACTGTTTATTTTATTTTTACCCAATTGGGCACAATGCTAAAATTTACAATAAAAAATTCCACATAATATTCCATCGAAAAGCGACAGAGTCTTTATTAGTTCCGCCTAGCTAGAGTTGCTAGCGCAAGGAGATATGCCGCAGTTGCATCCTCAGTCAGTGGCAACTTTTGACATCGAAGAACGAGTCTGGCGGCGCGCCATCTTTTCTTCACCTCTCGAGCATCGAGGGAACGCAGTACTTCAGGAGAAGGAGAACGAGGAAGGAAGTACGCCGAGAGAACGCGAGTGATTTCTTCTTTTGCAGAGGTGGATGTAGTTGCGATGAATTCTGCAAGAACGAAGTCGTTCTCCACCGGTTCTGCGTCAGGAGCAGTGAGGCAATGTTTCGACTGTTGCGGACTGAGAATATTTGGCTAAAGGGCGATATGATAAATGCAACGTCAGGTGGCGAAACTAAGGTTAATATCCTATGGAAAATGGTGTTGAATATTTGCAAACACTAATGGAATCAAGTCGTTTTGGTGAACAAGTATTTCCGGGTGGGGGAGTAAGTAAAAAGGACTGCAAACAGGGTGGGGGTTGCATAAACTACACGGAGTCCTTGAACGCAAAAGTCGGAGGCACAGCTCCAGATTTTGCTGTCTTTTAAACAAAAACAATTGAACACGAATGACTGATACTCAGTCAACGGTTTACATCAGTCTAGGGCTCCTAAAAACGGAGAACTAGCAAAATACACAATTCGTCAGTGTTGAAGCAGGCTGTTCATTACTCGACACAGGGACCTTAACAGACTAAAAATTAACAAGAAATTTTTTCTCCAATGGCCTTGATTTTATGCTAAAACATTGGTTGAAATATGTTTACTTTCGGAGAAATTAACACCGCATTTGAAAGCAACTAGTAACAAACTGATGTCCGCTTAGGGGTGTTTTCATTATCAATGCAGAAAGCTTTTTGAAATCCTAATACTCAGTTTTAAGCATTTGGTTATGTTGACACACCGAGGCCATGGTAATGTTAACTGATAAATCAGCCTGTTCACTGGGAAGGAGAGCTGAGCTGTTGAGGTCGAAGACAATGGCAGTAGAGTTCAGATCGATCGCCTCGATGTCACAACCAGGCCGTACTGTCTCCGACCACGTGGCTGGACGAATTGACTTGGGTAGACGTAATTGCTGCCATATAAACTGACGTGCCCACTGCTCAAAGTCAATTTCTTGCAATGAGAAGAGCTCGAGCAAAGCGGCCCGCAGCATTGCCAACACCTCCGCTCGTCGATGGTTGGCTAAGGCTTGTTCCTGTTCACTCGAAGTGTAGACCAGACAGGACTTGCTTAGTAGCAGTTCAACCAGTACCGCAGATCTAAAAACGAAATTAACACAAACGTATTTGCACAATAACCTTTGTTCACGAAACGACTACACTCAATCACTAAAAAGCCAGAACTAGAAGCTTCTTTTCGAAGCTGTGAACTGACCATAGAATGAAGATAACATTAATATTTGTAAACCCGCGAATTAGATGGCAAAAAGTAACTTCTGTTGTGTAATGTGGGAAAAACTATCTGTCGTACAAGGAATAGACTGCAATTGATTGTTCCTTTTCGCTCTGTCCGATGACCCATTGCTATCTTTCTAGCAAATCTTAATGGAATCTCTATCAAAACAGGCCTGGTCCTCTTCGAGAAATAAAACCAACTCGAAACCATTGAACAAGTTTTACAAACTCCGAAGTAAACGACACTCTGATGGTGCCAAGTCAGGACAGCTTTGGGAATGTGACATCACGTTGAAATCAAGCACCGCTAATTATCCACACTTTACCTAACGTCCCGTTTCTTTTTTAAATGGTCATGTTCTTCATTTGTTTTGGTTGCTGACAGCAAGCACCTGAATTTATCGTTTGGTCTTTCGAGAGCCCTTCAAAATGCAACCAGTTTTGTAATCCCATCAAAATGACAAGGTTGTCCTTTTTGACGCTATTCCAATTCTGACGTGGGTTGCGCTGTTTCACCAAGATTGTGACTAATGCCATTGAAGGATATCCAGCTTTCATTAACAACGATGCTTATACCGCGTTTGATTTGTTGTGATGGCTGTTTTTTTTCCAACGCATGCATACTTAAAATGCCAAACCCCTTAACAAGCCCACGGGTTTAAAGTGACTTCTGATTGTTGCGCGTGACACCAAACGTTGCACAGTTATGTGGCGATCCGGTTCGCTTATGGTCTCGGTCTGGTGATCAACGATTTTGGGGTGCCGACCGGGGTGCTACTAGGGCGGACATGATGTCAGACACTGAACACCGAAGTACATGGCAGCTTTTTGGCCTTAACGTTAAGAACATTTAGTTTGGTGAAGAGGTTCGCTTTTCTACTCCAAATTATCCCATACATGGTGGCCGAAGAAAAATTATGCGCAATGTTTCTAAAGCGGATTTAAAGTGGTATCGACCAGACGACAAAAGTAAAGGATCATTCAAGCGACAGAAATCCTTCGGAATTGAAAAACAATCATTCAATCTGATTAGATAAGACACGGAAATTGCGAAAAACAGGGTTGTGCAAACTATGGTGAACAAAAGTACTCGGGAAAAAATTTGAAGGTGGATTTGGGTTTACTTACGACGAGGCTCTCTCGAGGATGTTGGGCCAAAGTCTGGTGATGCTGAAGCGATGAAGGCAAGCTTCAACAGCCAGGCTTCGCCGGCATGAATTAGCTTCTTCCAGGGCCTTTTTGATTATAAGAGAGCAGTTGTCAGCGGATCCGACCGAGCCGCACAAGGAGATTCCACCATCACTGCCAGTGGACGAATGCGAGTTTGCATCACTGCTACAGACGCTGTCACTGGCTACCCAACTGCTCATAAGTTGCGTCACCATGGCAAGGAAGAGCAGTTTTACAGATCCGTCCCTGAGGCGTGCAAACATCGCTATTTACAGAAAAAAAATTCAGTCAAATCAAATGAATTTGAATATTTTTGTCAAAGCAAAACTAAAATAAGCAATCAGTACAATTGCGAAACGGCAACGCAGTGTGGCCTTAGAAATTGGGGTTTTAAACAAAAAAGGCAGTGGGCTCGCAGCTAATTTAATTGTGCAGTCAAGAAGGGAAAAAGGATGTCGTAAAAGCAGGACCGAAGTAATACGTGGTACAAATAAATGACGACAAATTTAACTTGCTGCGATCAAATAATTTCACGCTTAGTTGGCCTAAATAGGGTACACTACTCTCGGCCGCGGGTTACTAAATAGAAAAAAAAACGTGTGGATGAAGTTTTAATTTAGCGAACGCCAAACAATGTCTACGGTGGATACAATGAGAGGATGGGTTCAATGTTTGTCAAAATTGGGCTTTCGATGACCAACATAAGAGCAAATTCATATTTAAGCACAAAAGTGGGTAGCAACAAGCCACACTCACCACAAGCACCTCGCAAGATCCTGCGGTCATAATTATTTGACCTACTTAACATTCCTTGCGGACTGTAAAGCTATCCAAAGCACGTACTCCATTCTCAGCATGGGACAATCAGATTGGTGGGTGAAACTATTATGGCAATGTTAGCTGGCTGAACGAACGAACTTGATCAGTGATAAGCAACGGTTAAAACATGGGCGTAGGGAATGTGTACCTCCGAGGAACCCAAGAACGCTCATTCGATTTGCAACCGGAAGGAGAGTATGATAAGCACTGGTTAGGAAACTGCGTATGACCGATCTACAGGCTAACGCCTCTTTCCAAGATTCGGGGGGTGCAGAGGAGGCGGGAACAGTGTAGGAGAAAAACCGGCCGAGCCCTGGAGCAGCAGCTGGAGTGATCTTTTGAGGCATTAAGCGCAAAACTCCAAGCTTCTGGAGACTCCTAAAGCCATTCGATACCACAGCGATGCGGATGCTATCAGAGAGGCCCCACTAAAAAAGGAAATTCATCATTGGAGTAATGCCAACGGAAAACTAGTGCATCTGCATAAGCCAATATAAGTCAATAACGTGATGACGCGACTAACCAATTCAAATGTGTAAACATCGACCAATAAACCCTGATACCGGTGGAGAGTCAGTACCTTTCCATCACCAATTTTAGCTATGCTAAGTTCCTTAGGTTCAAGTGACAGGGGTCAAATACACCAGAGGATAATTCTGATGATCTAAACAACTGAAGAAGTGGGAATGGAACATGGGCAGTTTCATACGGTGCCTTCGAACATACCGAAACATCTAGACTGTGTCCCAAGACATAACCAGGTCACAACTAAAAATCCACACAACAATGCAGTCTTGGACTTGGACCACGCACGCGTGCAACCCGAAGAAATAGGCACAAAAACAGTGAATATATACATATATATATATAGTTCAGTAGATCCAGTTTTGTTGCGCACCTGCAATCAGTGTTGGCTTCAAGAGCGTACATTACTAAAAGCATTTAATGACTGTTGCCAACATTCAAGGACTTTAGAACTTTTAATGCATCGCGGAGACTTCTACCTACCCTAAATTATTGAAGTGGCATATTTTATGTGTTCTTGCACGTATGCTGTGGGTTTGGTATATACAGACGCCGGAGGAGACATGATTTAAAACCACACTAAAAAAGCAGCCCTGTGAATTTGTTTGTGGATGATATTTCCTTGAAAATTTTGTAATTCGAACACCAACAAGTCAGGAGTTACGGATCAAATAATGCGGCTTTAAATGTACAGAGGTTGAATGGCGACTGGATACAAACACACCTTCATGATGCCATCCAACTTGAGCCACTTGTACATGTTTGCCCGATTGATTTCATTGCCTAAATAAATAAAGAGGACCAATATAAGTCATTTAAAAGCCATCGAATTTAAGAAAAATACATACTTATGTAAGGAAATCCCGATGAGCTGCAAAGTGGGTGGAACGGAAGACGGTACTTCTGCAAAATGTACCCACTGGTATCAGAAAGCTGAAAAAGATTACTAATGTTTTACTTCTTATCATAATATTGCCAACTGATAAGGTCTACAAAAAAACTTACATCTTCGATAGATGCTGAACCAGGACTTTTCTCATGAGAATACCCACTCGGATCGTGTTGGAGCTTATAGCGCCGGAGAAATGTAAGAAGGCTATACATCTAGGGTGATGAAACAAGTGCAGTTATTTCTGTTCCAAGAAATTCACTTTCACAACCGTCTGAAGACCAGAGATTTGCCAGCTTCAGCCATACAGTTTTAAATGTTGAAAAGGTCACTTTTTAGTGAGGTCAAAAAAATTAACCACAGGGATAAATTCAACAACAGGATTGCCTGTTCCCCGATCTCGCAGGTCGCCAAAATTGAGCCGAATGCACTTCTAAAGGTGACGGGCACTTGGAAGGGGCAGACCACAAATACATACCAAATTAGCAGATAGTTAAGGAGGGGATTCGACGGGAAAAGTGCGCACGACATTATACCAGACCAAAATGGCATTTTGTTGAGATATGAATACAAACAACCACTGGTTTTACCACATGTTCAGGTTCCTCCCCAATTAAACCGATGGCCCGTGGTGCAAAGTACATGGTTTCAAATATCGTAGCGCTAATTTCAGCCACTTTACCTCATTTCAAACTCATGACGCTTCATGTCTGAGTAATCGGGTACACAAGCAAGAAGAGGCGCGAATTAGGAGTAAAATAGGAAACAGCAACAAGTCATTTGATAAAACCGATCTACAAATCCTCTTCTCACATATTCCAAACATGCACCCAAGTCGTTTGAAGTGAAATATTACTGCGCCTCCCAACAATATAGTGTGCGTGAATATTCGGACATCTTGAAAGTGAATTAATTGCCGCAAGTATATTTTCTGAACCAACACAACCAAAACGTGCTACTAATTTGATTAAAGTACATTACCGAGGTGTGCGAATTGATTTGCAAATTTTCTGATGCAAATGGTCCTTCGAAAATTAGCTGGTCTTAAAGAAACGTTTAAATGATGAAAAGCATCACTTGTTTCGACCAGTCAGCTAATCAAATATATATTACGCATTCTATGTAAGCAATGTCTATAGAGCATAAGAGAAAGATAAAAACAACGATGCAGAAATTTCGGTTGCGCGTAAACGACACACTTTCACAATAAGCACTGAATGCACAGTGCCTAGCAGCATTTGGTTCACGGCCAAGACTACGAAATTTGCAATAACTTATTAGTATTGCACTAAATTACAATTTTCAATAGTTGTAGATGTGCGGAGTCCCGAAACAAAACATGTTAAAGTCAACGCGGTTTAGTAGGAGGTAGACTCGCATCTGCCAAACATGTCCACCGAACGCAAATGACCGCAGCTACGTAACGCACCTTAGGAGCTTGATCCATATCCTCCGAGCAACTAATGGCGTTGAGGAGAAAGCGGAGTTGCTCGTAGTCGTATGGCGAGGTTTTTGCGAAAAGGAGCTTGAGGAGGACGACAAGGACCTCTTCCTCGAAAGCGCGATCGAGGGACGCGAAGTTAAGAAGGGCCTTATGAATCTCAGCAGCACGACTCAATTTCGCCAGAGAGTACTCCCTTAATGGTCGATGAGGATTTGGAGTAAGTCGAGAGTGTCACAGATTTAATGTCAACGACAAATTTACTATAGCAAGTGGACTATTGTCCACGCCAAAGTGGCTACAAATAACAAAATATTTCGACTTTCCACATTAGGGAAGCGACAGTAAACCACTTCTGCCAAGAATGCATTGAGAGAATCGGAGATCAACGTGACCCGTCGAAAATATACAACTGAAGTACAGGTATAGGTATACGGAGGACATTTTCAAATTGCCTAATTGAGCGATGACTGTTGCAAGTACTGTGCACAATGTCCTTCGGTCCTATTCACAGTCTAGCGCCTCTAAACACTAATTTTTGTCTCTACTTTAAATAGTGTCAAAACGCTCTAACAAAAATAAACAGTAGACCTAGACAAAATTAGAAGCAAGAATGAAAGTTATGAGGCTTTAGGTGAACATTAGCAAGCACGGGTCACAAATCCGTTATTTCCTTCCAAACTAGTTTCCCCATTTAAAATTACAAAAAACCCAGAAATTAAACATTTGGTGCATGACTAAATACCACAGAAATTTATTGACTTTGTATAACTTAAAATCATTCTAGTTAAACCTAAGGATTAATCCAACCACAGACATCACATTTTAAAATTGACAACCAGAATGTGACATCGCTGTTTCAGTACACATAATGATTACAGCGCCATAGACCACACATGAAAACAATTACAGATTCAACAAAAGGACAATGGGATTCTAAAACGGACACTTCAGTGAAAATCGTTCTCGAATACTTTACATGCATGAGAACATTGACGAGTTCCAAATGAGTACCTATTGACCCCACTTGTCAAAACAGGTGTAAAATGTTGTATGACATGGGCGTGCGTCACAAAAGCGAATATCGGAAAATATGCCGACCTGAAACACTTCAATCCATCTCCACAAACACTTAGCTTGTCCGGAAAAGGTGATTCCAGAAGAATTTTTAAATGCTGCAGCAGTGACTGTCGAGGATCTAGGTTAAAATCCCGACAGAATTCAACAATTTCAATCACAGGAGGCACGGGCTTCGGGGTTGAAAAGGTACTACAGAGCGGAGGCTGTTGAGTGGCGGTGAGGGAACACGACAAAGGCACGATTTCGAGCAAGTGCCCCAGTACGACATCTGGGCGGGGGTCGCGTCTGCTTAAGCGTAGCTGCAGAAGGGAAGGATATAAAAGCATAATAGAAGATTAAAGGTGAATTTGATGCAAAAAAAAACAAATGATTCACATTTGAAGTATCAACAGTGTTTTGGGATGCACCGGGGTGTACTAGGGGTATAATCAATGAGCTCACGAGAAATTCGTTCAGCACACACCGTCAAAATTCAAGCCCGATGACCGATAGGATGTGCTATTGTAGATCGCAAATAATGCTTTATAAAAACGCAGCGAAGAAAGAGGAATTCAAATGTAAAAAACCGGTGAAGTGTTAAATCATGGAAACTTATAACATGGTCACAGTCAAAAACACAAATCAACGATAACACAACCCACATGTATTTCATAGTAGCTGTTGTTAATCAAATTACATATCACATTTTGTTAACACAAATATTTCTTTAACATGTCAGAACTTGTCCAGCATTTTCATCAGTGGATGACCGTTATCCAATCGGTTAGAAAAACCGATTTGAATGATTTTCGTCGAACCTCAAAACGACTCACATCGAAATACCAAGGCCACGAGGTTATTTATGCTGACAAAGTGGTCGGTTAAGCTTGCTGAACTTTTGCAACAAAAGAAATCGGCAAGTCAGGTTAAAAAGGCAAGGTATACCTCAAGGAAATCTCAACACAGATTTTAAGTATTGTTTAACTTCTCGAAAAAACCACCGCAAAGACAAAGCCTCAACGACTACGTCAGGGGCTGTTAATGTTAAACCTATATGGGCGGTGTAAGCAAGATAAAGGCATGACATGGATCGATAAAAATAAATATTGGCAACAACACAGGAAGATCTAACAGGATTGGAATATCTATACCGTGATGACAAATTTGAAGGCTTATGACATTGCATAAAAGGCCAAATGTAGGTAGAATTCATGGCTGTTTTGATAGGTTACACGAAAATGAAATTAGATAACAGTTTCGGTCAACCACCAAATTCTTTTGACACAATAATTTTAATCCACAGCAAAACGCATAAGAATCATCCCTACAAATAACAGGAAAATGGTGTAGTGCGTTGGATCTTTTAGGATCCAAGTACTATCACAGTAAATCCAGGTAGATTTTGTTTACGTATAAAAAGGTTAAGAACTACTCACCCCATAGACACGCAAAGCAGCGTCCCATTTCGCATTTACAGAAAGTCCGCGAGCCATTTCTATCAGTTGTGGTGATCCATCAGATGGAAGCAGGTTGGCCGCCTTGAATATCATCGACGCCACAACCTAGGAGGATAAAAACTACAATGCAAAAACTAGCACGACTAAATCGATGACGCGCCAAAAACTCCTGAGCTGACCTCTAGCAGGGTATTCACACAGGTTAAGCAGCATATTCCAAGTAGATTGTCAGCGAGTTATTAGCGAAGTCAAATAGCATAATTTTACAAATGTCATTGAAGAGTAGATACATCTCCAGTTTCTTAATGAAAGTAACATTAATATAGTTTCAATATATAATGCACAACTAAGCATAATCAAGCACAGTCTTACTGATTGACGTGACACGCTATCCCTACATAAATAGCAAACCTGTGTTTTATTGGCAGCTCGAGGATTAGCTGCAACGATTTGGCGGAGTTGGGAACTACTCGTAGTGAGGGGTAAGCAGACGGCGAGGCCAAAGGCAAGTGGCAGGTCGAGGCGCGTGGCTGAAAACAGTCGGGCAAGGGAGAAACTCATCCACTGGGAAACGTACTCGCACAGCACCCGAGACATGAGCTCGACCAAATCTCCTCGCAAATTCGAATTCAATTGATCCATGTGGGAGTCCTGATCGGATTTCTGACTAAATTGCTTAAGAGCACACAAAAGATGACTGACTGTTTACCCAGTAGTGAATAGTATCTTTAATGGGGTTGGGACCACAAAGAAACCTTGCAGAACAATAGGAAAATAAAGAGCGCCAATGTTACCCGACATTAATGGGTGCTTAAATGAGAATCTTTGCCTTCAACGGGCTGTAACCAATAAAGTTAGTTGAGCGAGATTAGGGCAGTTGTGTCATAGCAGAAATGCAGTTGCCATGTGTGGTGATTCGCACTTCCAGCAACGTCCATCCACTTACGGACGTTTATGCTGCGGACTTTAGGTTGAAGAGGTTCATTCGTAGATAAGAATCATGAACAAGATTTAGTGCATCTAAATGTCAAAGTTACCGATTTGAGACTAACAATCCATTGGTAAGGGGCAAATATGCTATCAACTTTAAATTTTTCTTAAGCCATTCTGATAAAGTTGAAGTGCAATCTAATGTACCTCGATTTAAAAAAAGATCAAATTGTAAGGGAGGATTACCTGGGAGCCATCGTAGAGATCTTCGCTAAAAAGCGAGGTCAAGGATCCGACCATAGGAATCGAAACAGAAATCTCAAGACCCAATTTGGAAGCATACTCAGCAGCCAGATGCAGACCTTCCGAAAGTAGTGCTACGCCGGATTCCAAGTCTGCTAATAACAGTGGACGATAAAAAAGCTTTTACAATTCTGAAATCGTCAATGCAAATGTCAATAATCAACTGATCGTCAAAAATTGTCAGGCAGAACTTATTCCTCTGGTACACATAAATAAGAGTATTGGACAAAAATTCCTGTAAATGAAAATCTTACCTTTAAATATGTCATAACACCACACATTTATTGAATTACCTTTATTTCTAAGACTCTGCATCAGTCGTAAGAGCCATTGTAATGAAGCCAAAGACAAAGACTGCACCATTTCTTGGTCTACATTTTCAGGGATTTTTTCGTCAAAGAGCAACGAAAATTTCCATTCCAATAGTAAACCACTGAGGCCACAGAATTCCTGGGAAGGCTTCAGAGAAAAGAAATACAAAGTTGACGCATCGTTCAAATCACAATGATGCCAGCAATGCAAAGATAAAAGACCATTCACAAAACAATGCAGCCTTGCTTGTTGACCACGAACGTTCACAAACTGATAGAATAGGCAAAAAAGCTAAACAACGATAGAAAATGAAGCAGATCCTGTCTTGTCGGTTTCAAGAACTTTCACCACTAAGTACATATCAGACTTCATTCCGAAAGGTGGCAATGAGCTGGCTAGCCTCCAATGCAGAGGCGCCTAGAAATTTTCAAGAATGCAAGTGCTCTCATTTACATCACAAAGTACCAGAGACACAAGTAGGCTGACCTTGAAAACCGATGTCTTCCAAATACCTCGGTTGTCAACAGTCAAAGACTTGAAAAACGTTTAATACTTAGAGTTGACCTGCATATACCCTGAAGTGCCGAAAGGGCCTAGTCGGTATGTTTTTGAACTTTTGCTACCCTTAATCAAATTTTAGGGTGCTTCAATAACATCTTTTGAGGCAAAAAACCCCGGTCTTCTTTCCGTGTATGCTAAACAGAGGCCGACGGAGATGTGACTGGAGTAAACAAAAATCAACGCCATTGCCAATGAGCCAATGTGTGTTAGACAAAGATGGAGGATTTAGGTGGTAGGGATTTTGGTCAAATTAATCGAATTGGATTAGGGCTTTCACATTCTGTACATAGATAGCAAGTAGGCCTTGGGAACCCTCTAGAAATGGATAACAGACACGAAAATGCGTAGTAAAAACTCACGCAAAATTTTTGCGATAATTTTGAGAAAACGACTGTTATGCAGGTGAGCAGATTAATAATACACCTTTGTTTTCGAGAAAAGATATCTACAAAAGAAAAGACAGTCACGTAGTCAGTTGATCTTGTCAGTAATAAACGCCTACATTTGCTCAAAAGTGGGACCAAGGGCTGAGTTAAGAAGAACAGGAATATTTTTCTGCTGGGAACAGGCTACATTCAATTCAATTCCGGCGTGTCTGCTTGGTAGGTTTTAAGCCATAATTGTCATCTACATCTAATGAAGCATAATCTACCACAATCCATTAGATTCAGAAAAGTACCTGAAAGCCCGAAACGATCAATGTGGTTGTCATTTCACTTACGAAAAACCACTAAGAAAACATTAGTAATGAGGCACATTTGTTGATTGTCTATCTATGGTGCCACAGAAAGGCTCAAAAATGGTCTAAATCAAGCGCGCTGGATGACCATATACTTGGGTAAAGTAAACACGCTTTTCATCGGCATTACGGAAATATGACAAAACGAGCTAGAACAGGTACACCTAACAGTTAATTAGTAAGCTTTAATACAAGTTGGTGAGGCTAAGTTGAAAAAATTCACCTCAATTGGGAGCCAAGGCGATAAGCTGACAAATCTTTTAATTTCAATCTCTGAACTAAAATATAGCATTCCCATGTTGGACCTGACATTATGTGTATCCACGGCTCAATGGATACCACTGCTTGAAAAGCTGAGTAAATATCGATAGAATAAATCTGCAGTGATGGAACCTAAGTTGACCTCAGAAGAGACTCGCCTTCACTGAGGGTACTTTCAAGTAGAGCACGTATACACTCCAGCAGAGAGGCCACCTGATCGAATTCCAAATCATCCTTCATCTTAATGACAAACGGCAGGAGCGCATCAGTAACGAGTTGCTGTAATGCATTTTGGCTAATCGCTAGCCCACTACGTCTCATCATGAGTCTTTCGAGTAATTGTTTAGTAGCCATGACAACGGCTCTAAGTGAGCGTTGGTCAGACAGCCAAGCTTCGACAAGAAGGATGTCCACATCTGTCGTCTCGTTGCAGGTCTTTGTCCACCGTAATAAGAGATTAAACAACGAGACGACTCGGGGTTCGAAAGGGTCGGTGGCACCACACTGTTCAAAGAGAGACTTGATCGACGCAGCACTAATCTTGAGTGGTGGCTGCAGTTGGCTAAAAATGGCGAAGCCGGGTGTGAGGTGATGCTGAAGGATTTTTTGACTCAATTGGATGTATCTGAGACACTGCCTGGCTTCTTTTACAACATTGCTATGGAGACCACAGGTTCTGACAGCTTCCAGAGAAATGCAAGCAAATAGGTCCAAGTAGATGGAGGACTTAAAAGGATATGTAAAAGAAAATTTGCAGTTGATACATGTAAATGGCAGAGCTGTAAAAGATAGGAAGTACTGCTCCCAAGTTCATTACATAGGCATGGTAAAATACAAACGATTGTTACAAAAATCTGTGAACACTGCATCGCAGATGGATTAAATTTGCTTCATTGACTGCTCAAAAAGAAAAAGAGCGAAAACAGTACCAATTAATACAATGGACAGAAGTTCAAAGAGAAACGAGGTGGAAACGTAGATATGTAATCTTATCCCATATCTTTGTCATAAAAAATATATTTTGGCATCGTACTACCAAACAGATGAAGCCTTACTTCAAGGAATCCGATAGCTTTCAGCCGCACACTCGTTCGTTTTGTCGAGACAAAAAAAACTCGATTTTGGTTGTGTATGATAATAAATCAACCCAAATCCTCCAACACGATAGAGCGATTTCAAACAATGAACACAGGGCATAACTGTTGTAGCCGATTTCGAGCCATCCATAGATACGTCAAAACCTTCAAGTCGGTGCTACAGCTTTAAAGTGCACTTAAGTGTAACTTCTTAAATGAGAGGACTTGAACTCTGTTAAATTCAAGTCCAGATGAATTTCAATAAATATCTGTTATTCATACAGGCAAACAATCGCCTTGAAGGGGTGAATTTTTCCAAATATTAGGGCAAACGCTATGAAATGATTAATGCTTGAATTATATTCCCAAGCATTGTAAAAATAACTTCGTGTTATGGATAGCAACTAATCGCTGCAATGTTTGCTTGCATTCCCATATGGCTAATCAATCAAAAAACACAACTCTGGCCCTAAAGTGACCTGACCAAGACAATTACATTGATTATGATTAAATTTGAATTAAAGGCCGTATTATACCACTGAGAATCGTAATGCAAAGCATATTCAGAATGGTGCGACAGTGTCGTGGAAGTTTCGCTATAGTAGCCATACCCACCCCTAACCGAGCAAACAGACCCGGCTTGGGGATTCAACATCAACCTTGACTTACACACTCAGTTCCACAGCAATTAGTTGCCCAGGATGAGGCTAGGTCACGCAAAGCAGTTGCAAACAGCTTCTCTACAAAATTTTGACACCCCGCCATTTCCAAAGAAAGCAGTTCCTTAAACACCGTAAGCACCACGTAGTCCACTCGCTCCCGATTATTGACCGGACATGCACCGCTGACGTGAAGTGCCTGACCGATGGCAAGTTGAAGGTGAGCAACAGCAAATGTGTAGGTGGCAGAGGCCGGGGAGAGGAGACGAGCCACCCTGAGAGCGTCTGCGTGCACCTCTTGTCTGGAGCGACAGGAGTGGAATGAGGATGCTAATTGAGGTGCCTTCAACCAGGGTGGAGGAGCATGCAGCAAAAGAGCGCTCAGTGTTCTAGTCAGGCCAGAGGGATGTCGATCGTCAAAATCTATTTCGTACCTGTGGGGATAAACAAGATGAGCATGCGACTATGCACTTTAAGTGTCATTTGAACGCGACACTCATTAACTTAATCAAGAGACCACCACCAGAAAAGCATGAAAGGAAATAGGGATTGACGCGATTTAGAAGAAATCTGTCTTATTTGAGGACTACGACCTTCACTAGTGTTGAAACAGCCATTGGATACCAATCAGTCTGTAGTGTTCATCGAACCAATCTACAGTTTTACATCTGCATTCATCTATGGATACGAAAGCGCTTTATTAAGACACATGACCCAAAATTACAAACAAAATAACCCTCAGCAGTGTGAGTGGTTATGAATAAAAATAGTTTTATTAAACACTGGTCTTACCGGCTACACCCACTTCAGTACAATCAATTCCACTTAGTTTATTTTTAATAGCAAAATAGTAATCATTTAAAACTAAAAGTAGACTGGTTACTTGGTTCCTAACACTAGTATTTGCCACTGCGACCATATAAACTCCATGTTTTAAAGTAAAATACCGAGTTTTGGTAGTAGTTGTAACTAGTTCTGGAAAGCAAGCAGTGAAAATACCAAAGGTGGATTTCAGATAAATATAACGTACTCCGAGAGAATAGCGGCAGCCTTTGCTCTGTTGGATTGACGAGAGAGGATTCGGAAGGCAGAATTCTCCCTTCCTCGTCGAGCGAGAGAATGATCAGCGAGGACCGAGTCCACAACCGAATGTAATTGTAAGGGCCAAGGCAGCGGAGCTACTTTTACAAGGAACTGGGCAGCCTAAAAACAGATACTACTTGACTTATGCAGAGAAACGCATCATACGCACCCAGACGACGTGCACTCTTCAATAAAGCCTAAAATAGACCATAAATTGAATGTCCAAACGGTAACGGTGGAGCACACGAAGCTATAGCCTTACATTCGGATAGTTACATTGACTGATGACCTCAGGTAACACAATGATGAGTTGACCAACCTGAACTTCAGCTTCCAAGAGAATGTCAGATGGGTTCAATAAGATTCGCACAGCGATAAATGACCCAGGCGGATGACAGGGGAATACGTGAAGGTTTAGGTCCCTAGAGAAAATGACAAACCGCCCTGGGAACATAACATGACCCACAGCGGTGAATGGGTACCACCAGTATAACGAAATTCTAGTTGGGTTGTAGTGTTGCGTAATAAAAAAAATAACTCATTTGCACCTTATACCGACAGCCAAGCGAAGTGATCCACGAGGCAGCCAAACAAGCGCGCTGAATTAGTTCCGCGGTGATGGTCGAATCAGGCATAGGCAGTTGCTTCGTTTCATTTTTGGATGGCGATGGCAAGTGGAGGAGTGTTGTTGGCTCAACTGCCAGTATACTGTAACAGTAGTCACAATATACGATGTCAGAGTTCAGGCCTCTTTCCTAGTAATACATAAAGGTAGATATTGTGATAATGGATACTTTGTGCTGCAAAAAGGTGGAATTATTGCGCGAAGGACCACTATAATTAAGAATAATAAATTGAAATCCATTAAAGGGAATGTCTATGGTGCGCATACATTAGGCAAAATAAGTTTCGACGAGAAAATGATATTATACATGTTGCGATATGCTTCCGTTAGAAGAAACAATTGCTTAATATTGAAAACCTGAGTGGCGATGGCAAAATACAATTTGATGTTGCACGAGCAGTCAGCAAAACAAATTAAACCGGAAAATTCATTTCAGCAGTAGTTTGGTGGGAGCACAAATCAGGTCACAGTGATTTTTCAATTCAATGTACTACAATTAATCGCTTATAATTGTGTGAACTAAGCGATTTCGGAGACTAAACAGACACTTTAACAGAGCACAGCCAAACCACCGCGGTATCGACTAATTTTGAAATCACAATAACAACACAAACAATAGACACAATTTAAATGATTAATTGGAAATGATATCGACAGCAACCATTTAAAAAACGCGCTATATTTATGATCCAGATATTCTAGGTAGTCACGATAAAATGGCACTCCAAAAACACAGACTAAATGGACACTCGTTAAGGGAAATCAATAACCATCCAAGCCAACCTTGATAAAATTGGCGACACGAGGCACCACGGGAGCGCAATCATCACTTTCACCACGTGAAGTGACAGCGACATCCACCAGCTTAATGGCGATCGACTTTGCATCCAGATTACCACAATCCTCTAAGCTAAGCCTGAAATTGTACCTGAAACAAATAAAGCGATAAAAGTATAAATATTTGCTTAAGTTAGTGGGAAATGTTAAGAGCTCCACAGTCAATGGGCGACTAAACTGACAAGTTTGGGTGCTGTATTCAGCCTAACCTACCTACTTGTGATTGGCGTCGATTGTGGGAAATATGCCAGTAGAGCAAAAAACGATGACTTGCATACTATGGACCGCCATGACTCCAAAATGCATTAACACCATATTTACAAAACAAAATACAGTGGGAAGTTGTGTTAGTTACTGGACGATTATATTTAATAAAGATCCACACAGCTTCAATGACACCAACACTAATTAATTAACACAAACACATTAAAATCAAGCGAAGTAAAACATCAGGAAGGTGACGATTGTGAGCAAAATGTGAACAAGAGTATGAAGAGAGAGCATTTCATGTTATAGGTGATTACTCTCATTAAAAAGAGCCCAAGGTGTTGGCGACATGCAGCGAGAAGCAACACGCTTACTTTTCAAGGAGCTCCTTGACGGTCACCAAGTCAAACAGTAAGCACCGAAGAGGGTAGAAAGGGTCAACTTCAGGACTTCGGCTACATAGTCCAGACACGAGGAGGTTCACCTCCTCCTGTGGTGTTATCTCGCTTCTGCTACCTGTCAGCTTAGCGTTGCTTAGTAAACCTTCCACCCAGGCGATGGCGGTGCCTGGCCACTCAAAAGGACAATTGGCGACAGAATCGTTGACCAATTTTTCAAGCTGCTTCACACGATTCACCAACCACGCGGCTACTAATGGCTTTGAGAGGGAGAAAACGGAAATCCAATGTCAATTAAGGCAAAAACTCATGATTCTCAATCGATATGGGATCGCGTTTTCGTCTGACACACATAACGGACCCAAGGAGTTTGACACAAATCTCTACAAATACAATTACCATGACAGCAATGAAAAACTCTGACTTGAATTTAACAACATGACAAATATTTGAGAATAAATGGTGCCTTAAAGTGGCGATGAAAAACAATTTCTACAAAGGAACTCACCAATGCTAACGGGCAACTACAGAGCAGCGAAGGAACTAATTCAGCGCCGAGCCAGGCATGAAGGGTGCTTTCCACTTCAAGCAAACTACTACCAGAGGTTCCGCCATCGCCAGAAGACGTGAGGGGTTTAAGTGAAATGAGCGATAGAAAAGCCTCTACAGAAGACAAATTCATCTCCGACATCAGATTCGTCTGAAAAGTACGAGGTGTGTTTGATTAAGCGTTTATAGGGAAACTAAAATGTCAAAACGAATGTGTGTGACCCATGAAGTCTTACACCGAAAACCCACACAGGTGACTTTGGCGGTCGAAACTAAGAAACTTTGATGAGCCTTACCGTGAACCTGGAATAGCACGGGACCCAAAATTTACGACATTTTGTCACACTCAATCATTGTGGTTATTTCTAATGACATTGCCAAAGACCGCCCAAGCACAAGCCAAGCAAAACAAAACTTACGTGACACGGAATTGCGATCAATCCTTTGCACGCGAGGCATTTTTAGACCGGTGTCGATTACTGCTTAGCAAGCGAACATGGTTAACTATTTCGGCAGAAATATTATTTTATTGAATTGCAATTATATACGACGTGTATCAAAGTCGATTGAGCAGGCGACAATCAGAATGAACAGTGAAGGAAACCTTGGTCGGACACAGAATACTACAAAAAATTGTTTGCAAGAGCTAGTGTAGTGCTATTTTACGTGTGCATAAAACTTGAGTAAAATAATTTGCTGCAAAAAGAAACAGAAAAAAGGATCTTGGGCGCACCCTATACATGCTCCACAATTTAAAGCCGTCACTGTATTCCTCCCAGCCGGAGAAGCACTCAATAAATTCGGAGGTTATTCGAGCCGACGTAAACTTGATCCACGAAGTGCGACTGAAACAAGAATTCGGTTGCTCTGTGGTGTTAAAGAAATATGGATGCGGAAAAACGGACTTTTGGGTCACCTGAGTTTCCGATACTTGTGCAACTGGCTGAAGGCCTCTAGGCGTTTCAATGTATCTAAGACGGCCTATTATCATTTAAAATAAGATTAGCTTGGCAACATACCTCCCGGGATTTATTCGCATCACGTGGTAACTAAAAACAATTTGTGATTTGACCGATTAAGGCAACAAAAGGTATAATATTAAAATGGATCATACCTTAAGCGTGATTGTCTCCAAAAGTTTGAATTGGTACTCTAACCTGGGTATCACCGCATCGATTGCTAATTTCAAGACTACTTCAGGAGATTCTAGCACCTAAAAGGTTAATGACGTTTCATTGTAACGAACATAACGCAAGAGCCAATCTTTCTAAAAAAAAACGAAGTTCAACATTTTTTTCGGTTTAGTAGTGTCGGATAAAGTAAACCGGGAAGACATGAGACTAACTTGGAGAAAGCGAGCCGAAGCAATCAAAAGCAAAGAAACACTGACAGTATATGTAGTCAGAAAAACTATTGATCTAACGCGAGCAAAGGATACTACATTACCAGAAATAAGTGTTTTTATAACTACGTGTGATCATTTACACACCACAGATTATAAAAATCAGACAAAATGCCTATGAGCGCAAACTCCAAAGACAGCCGTCAGTAACAAAAAGCATACCTCAATTTCAGAGAGGAGTTCTACAGCTTTTCTACATGTTGAATCGCAGCTGGAGAGTAGCGAATTCAATTGGTCACCAAGAGTGGGTGAACTAAATCGCTCTGCACTCTCTGCTAGCATCTCAAGACAAGCCAGTAACTCCATTTTTGAGACCAACTTAAAAAAAAATAGTTTTATTTGTAAGAAGGCTAGATGTGTAAGTAAGTTAAAAACTTAAAGCCTACATACGGAGGTACCAAGACCAAAATTAACTGCGAATTGTCGAGCCTCGGCAAACTTTTTCTCCTGGATCAGAAGTTTCAGCCTATCAAATAAAAAATGTGTGAGAAAGAGGGTCGGAGGGACGAACAACTATGGAACTTACCGATCGGTTAAGTCTGTTACTAGGAACGTTGAAACGTTCAGGGCAGCTTCCCCCTGTTCAACCAAAATAGGCTCGGATTTAAGTTCACATCGCGAAAAGAGTAACGGAGAACTGCCTGATAACGGTACTGATAGATGCAATGTTCGGCTAAAAAAAGCAGTAGTAGTCATTTCGTCTTCGACTCGATCGCAAAAGAATTGAATCAAGAATTTGAACCTTACGCAGGATACGTTCGTATTTCCAAGACGAGGCCACACATGCGCTGATGAAGCGTGTATATGTCAAAAGATAGAGATAGTTTATGTTGGCTCCGTAGGGAAACTGCGAAATCTGTTACATCTGATACATCATGCAATTTTCCAGAGTATACACCCGCGATTGCATTAAAGAGAAACAATTGGCGCTGGAGTTAGAGAAAATATTAGGATAAATTTTAAAAATTGCAAACCTGCTGCGTAAGTACAACGAAATAACCAGATCCAACAAACTCAGTCTTAACAAAAGAGGACATAGATTCCAGGGTAGAAGTGAAGCACAATATGTCATAATCGTTGCACTTGTGCGCCAAAGAATCCTCGAAAATGGTTACTTTTAAGCGATGTCTCTAGTAATGCAAGTCAATTACGTAAACTAGAGCTTACTAGTGAAATAGAAACTGCTACATCTGGTCGCTCAGTGTTACATAATAACGCAATTGGTGGGCCGACTTCCTTTAATGGAGCACAGTCAACGTTATCAGTAAAGAAATTTAACTCTTTATTAATGACAGCATTACGAAAAGAATGCGGCGTGATTCCAGGTAGAATAATTCGCTCCGAGTCAGCTACGAAAACAACAACGTCCATGGTGCCTGGAAGGTAAGCTAGAGCAATAAAATACCGTTAGTCCAGCATCGAACCCTGATATCACCAACTTTCTCCAACGTTACCTGAAAGTAAATTCGGAATTACGAATACCCTTACCGGAAAATCATGCAGTTCGGGAACATCAGGTAGAAATACCTTGAGTTTGTTACCATAACATCGAATAACCGCAGCTTTTAAATCAAACAGCGGATAAACATTCTCGATACTATCTTCTGGTAAATGACACGCTTGTAATAATCACGAAAATCATACCCAGGTTAGTTTGGAATAGAAGTGCATTACTCTCGTCGAAAACAGAAAAGGTTTGGTTGTTTACAATATAGTACATTCCATCAAGATTTCCCAGAAAAAAATTTCTGCCGATTTTGAGTTGCTACGACAAAAATTATTAGAACATAACAAACCTCAGATGTGTTCTTTTGGAGGCTAACCAATAATGACTGATGGTACCACCTTTCGGAGTTTGATGGACCAACTTCAGAGACCATTCTAAAAAGAAAAATGCAAATAATGAATTTGTCAAAAAAAGTCCGAACAAATTCAGCACTTTTACATCTAGATAGAACCTACGCCGATTGGTCACAGGAACGAAAACCAGCAAATTTAGCGTTTAAGGTCAAAATAGAGGCAGATCAAAATGTTGTATCCGGTGTTCAATTTGGGAAAAGTAGAGTTTTGCGAACATTGTACTAAGGTGTTTCAGAATTGACGAAAAAGGACTATTAAAATGGTCAGAGACTAAGTTATACTCTCGTAGTACAAAAAAGGAAAATGCATGAAAAAAAAGTAATTGCAGGCTTAAATACGTATTTAGGCGCCAGTAAACTCTAACAAACGAAAAACCCATAGGAACTACACAAAACGTAGGGCAAATATGTGATCAAGGGGTCTGCGCAACCTTAAGTAAACAATTAGACTAGAGTTATGCATAAAGAAAATGGAGACAAAGTGTAAAGAGGGGTCCTCCAGCAGGTTACGAAGGATGGACGACAAATGAACAAAGCAAAAAGCAGTGAAAAAATAAATAGCTAAGCAAAACCAGCCTAAAAACAGGACTTACCTTTCATAACAAACAATCAAAAATAGAAAATTGACACAAACCCAATTTTAAATTAAAGCAATAGGGATTTAATTAACAAAGCAATCCATATAAACAAAAGATATTGTTATTTTATAAAATGTCATCGTAAATTGCCCTTAACTATCGAAATACATGTCAAATAAATTTAGAAGGGCTATCGACTTAATAACATTTTGCAATATTTTTTAAATTATAGTGATAAGTCTCGAACATGTCTTTACTCAGCACTGAATAGCATGCAGGCCTTCGGTAGGGGTGTGGTGTGGTGTAGCGGAATGACAGACGGCGGCCATATTGGTGACGGTGTTGAGCACGGCGTGGAGGCGGCATCACG